CTAGCACTATTTTGTCAAAAAAACAACCAAACCACAAAACCAGAAAAGAGCAGCTTTTGCTGTCTAATGCAATCAGGTAGAAGAGGTTCTCGACTTACTTCATAGAATTGTTGCTGGAGCTCATTCAGTGACTGTGAACACAGAGCATGACCCAAAACCCAGAAGTCCCCTTGCCCAGGAGGTAAAAAGTCATCTTTCCTCTTCACCCATCTCTCCACTGCCAACAGCATTCCACTTTCCTCCAGTTGGATTTCAAAGGCAAACAGTGAATGTCACTGTGCCCTGGGGGAGGAGACACCAGGTGCTGACTTAAAAAGTAGTGTCTCAGAAGATGGAAGCATCTTCCTTGATTAACTCTGTGATCTCTACTCCAAAATCAGATTTTGCTTCACATAAACAGTTCTGATCTATCTTCTTTTTATTGATTTGACCACACATTAAGTACCAAGATTCACAAACAGGATTCTGGATTACATTCTGGCCAAGGCTGCCAGAAGCTACATACTGCAACCTAATCTGCTGATACTAGATCCAGTGCAGTTCCTGTAGATGAATGGTTGTAACACAGATTATATACCAACAAGCACATTTAATCACATATATTTTGTATCAAAGCACATTCTAAAACCAAATTGAAGGGAACTGGAGTAAATATTTTACAGAGTTTGTAAGGTGAGGTAGTAGGTTCTTTCATTATTAAGCAAACCCCTTGGTCTCAGGGGTGACAGTAGACCTCTGAAGAACTATTCACTGCAGTGACTGCTAAGCAGAGGGAATGCTTAACAAATTAAAAAAAAAAAAAAGCTGATTTAATGAGAGCCAAAAAACCAAAATACAAAGGAAGTAAGCTTCAGGGCTATACAATTAGTTTTAATGTAAAGTATTATTATATAGTGACTTTTCTTATGCAAATGTTGAGGGTGATGACTGTTTAATATCAAAACAGCAGGTGAAGACAAAGCCAGATAATTTATTGAAAGCTTTTCAGAGTCCCTACGTTACAATCAAAAATAGAACTTCAAAGACTTTAAAGCTAACGGGAAGTCTCACTTCAAGGGAGAACACATTAAAGGCTTGTCATAATCCAGGCAAATCGTTTGCACTATTTTCACTGCTGAAAAATAGTTAACTAGTCTTCAGGTGACAACAGTCCTGTTGCTGTAAGTACATGTAACTACTCCTAGGAGAAGATCAGAATCCAAGCCCTCACTTTCTGTTGTGCAAAAAACCATACGCAACTCTTGACTCAGAGGATTAGCTCAAGAGATTAAATTTTTATACTTTACAAAAAGCATTTGGGTAAGTCCTCATAGGCCTTAAACACCACCAAGTCACTGCATGAGTTGGTAAAGCAATAAGATGATCCAGTAACCCAGCAGTGATCCAACTGCAAGGAGGCAGATGAAGAAACTTGGCAAGCATCGGGAGTACTCCGCATGCACGACAGAGAACTGAATTCTGAAATTACTTCTGTATATTAATGACTGAAACTTGTGTTGCATGCTTTACCACAAAAAATATTATTTACATTACACATTATCAAGCATGAACTAAACTTCCCAAGTACAAGATCGCAAGTAACAAAATTGCCCAGTTTACAGTAATGGTAACAAAAATTAGGAAGCCTGGAGTTAAGGTATTGCAACGCACTCCTGCAAAGAAATGCAAGAAAAACTTGATGAACAGCAAAACTTCATGAGCTAAAGAGCACAGTAGTTTTAAACTTTGTACTGTATTTATTTACAAAGTTAAATGTTGCATAAATACGCAGACACAAATAGACAGATACTCTTAAAACAGTAAAAAAAATAAAAACATTCCATTACACTTTGTGGATCCTGGTTTTCAATGAACCCAAGCAATGTTAAATATTGCTGTAGTAGATTTTATACTTCACTGCTAATTTTACACTAAACAAACACTGCAAAAAAGCAAAATAGACCTTTATGACACAAGAGGAGAAATACCCAATTCCTGTCCTTTCCATAAGGCCGACATTTCCAGAAAACCATGGACCTGATCCTTTCAGAGTACACATTTAATTTTACTCTCATGAGTAAATCTCATCAATTTTAATAGAAAAGAATTGCTATTAAGAAAGGCATATGCATATGTATCTGCATTTATTCTGGACTAAGGAAAAATGGGACCATTTACACAGTAATTACTTCAGTAAACACATTATTACTCCTATAAAGAAGTTTTGCTTACCCAAGGAACAAATGTTACAGAAGAAAAAAGTGTACTGCCATTAATAAACGTATTAGCTTGTTGCAGTTAAGTGAGACTGAACTCTGCTGCACATTCTGTATCCCAACTGCTTCAAGCACAGTGAGCTATCAGTCCTCAGGAGGCAGGATCCTGCCTCATTTAAAGTCAATGGGAATTTTGCCATTGGTTGCAGAGTAGAAGAATGTTTTGGACTCAGCTTCCTCACACTTCCCCCCCCCCTTTTTTTTTTTTAAAAAAAAAAAGTCAGACCAGAGAGAAATCCTCCCCATTATGAAGAAATTTAATTTTAAAATACCCCAAAAGAATGTAAGTATATAGGATTTATTCTCAAATCTCTTAAAACAATTAGATTCCAGCAGAAGCTAAGAATTTTATCGGCTTTCTCTCCTGTATGCACCCCCAACCCCATTTTGTTTGATTACGTATAAACAAAAGCATATGCATGAATTTCACTAAGACTGGAAAAGTATGTAGTGGGGCAGTTTAATGCACAGAACAATGGATCATGTGCAGAAGGGACTAATCACGTTCAGTTTCCATCACTGAACACTTGGCTCTGCATCCTGTCCTCTTCCACTGAGAGTTGCCCTTGTCTGGGTATTTCTCTCCTTGACCTGTCCCAAACCTGTATCCTTTTCCCCTTCTGTTTCATTCCATAAAGAATCTCAGCTAGGGATACATGCCTTTCAAGTGTGAAAATTGCTGGACTCCAGAAGGGCTCTGTGTTTCATACTCGGGAAGTTACCAAAGCATGAGGGGAATGCTATCTAATCCTAATTGTTTAGGTAAACGAACGTGTTGCCAGATGACCCAAACGTCCGGATCTCTCCCAAGGCTGTGTTTTTTGTGTTGGCAGATAGAATTTCCCTTGAAGGCTAAAAATGAGGCATATACCAGTAGGAAAAAAACCATTTGATTTATGAGAAGCAAAACTGCATTATGTTATGCCAGGTCCTAGTCAGCTCCCTGCCAGCTACAGCACTGGATTCACTACTGCATTTGGGTATCTAAAATGAAAATAGCATTATTGTGGTGGTTGTGATTTTTAATTGTTTTCTCAGTGAGAGAACTTCCTGTTTGTTACCAAGGTAATTCTGAAATAAGAGCAAAACCATAAATCAGCTGCTTGCAAAAGCTTGCAGACCATGACAGAAACATTCTGAATATTTCACTGATGTCTATTTTTGGATACCTATCTAGCTAATGTAAGATGTTATTAAGGAGTCTTCACAGAACTGTGCTGCAGGAAATAAGCTCCATGTAGCCCCGCCACTGCATTTTCTTGCATGAAAAGTTTCCTGTGATGAATACAGAGTCCAGAAAGTCTATGCAACTCGGTATATTTTGAGCAGAATAATGTACCTGTCTTGCAGAATTACCTTGTCTTAGATGTCAATGTTTGACTTCCATGCTCTTCCCCTCCAAATCTTTCTACTGATATGTTAGCTTTACAGATTTACTCTACTTGCAGGCTCTACTACCAACCCAAACACAAGGGTGTCACACAACCCCAAGACAGGTGAAAGCTTCAGCACTTGGGTGAAAAAGAAACCCATTGCTGTTTATTTAAGCCTTCCATAGAAATGCCTGAACTGGAAGAAAGCAGCAATTGAAAAGCATCAAATCAGGCTCATATCTCCAGAAAACTGTCTTACAATTTTAGTAAAACACTGTCTGTATGGATCCAAGAGATACATTATACAGTATCTGGCTTTAAAACTGTTCCCACGAAAGAGTAGCAAGATGTAATCATAGGAGGCTTATTTCTTCTTTTCAGTTAAGGGAAGAATTTAAACCTCACTGTCACTGGGTTAGAAGTTAAACTATTATTCAACTCCAGGAGGCAAGGGCATAAAATCATTGTGCCCAAACAAAGTAACATAAAATATTCCATGGGGGTTCTAAAACTGTGCTGTCTTTCACCACTAAGGAGGGACCAGCCCATACAGTGGCACATAAACAGCGACAGACTACACTCTAACAGAAACAGCAAATCAAAGATGTAGATAATCAGAAGAGACATTATTTGCATCACTAATTTTGAGGAAGTAACAAAGTACTCAAAACATTCAAATAAACTATAGGAAGTATTAGAAACCTGCAAACTCTAAGGCAGTATCTGTGCTTGAACGGGCTCAAGTTCTGCTTTTGCTAATGGCAGAACTCCTACAGTTCATTGGCAGACGTCAAAGAATTCAGAACTTCATTAATTTTAACATATTCTAAATGAAAGTTTAAAGCTTTCATTTTAAGATGACTAGATTTAAATATAACTCAGAACTATACGATTCTCGTTGAGTTGAAGAGGCTTATCATAAAAATTCATGTGCAAAAATCTAAGTTAAAGAACATTTACTATTAAAAAAAAAACTTTAAAAAACTCCTTTATCCAGAATTTTCCCTTGAATATCGTAACTCTCATCTTTCAGTTGGCACACAGCTGACATTGCAGTACCACTTGAATGTGCAAGAAATAAATGGAAAGAGAGCAATGGGAAAAAAGCCCCAAACTGCAATGCTTTCAGCAAACCACCACCACCAAGTAAATGGACAAGACATCCTAATTTCTCAGTTTTACCTTATTGCACCAATACGAATACAGATAACAGTAGTAACGAAATATAACAAAGAAATTTCACCATTGCAGTACTACTGACATGCACAGGCCAAATTCTACCACTTATCTGGCAAGATTTTTGAAACTGAAATTCAACATACCCTTCCCAATCGTTGCACTTCTAGACTTACAGGAAAAAAAAGACTCTTACCAGGAATAATCATGAATAAAAGCCTGGGTAGATTTTTACTTTCATCTTTTGAGAGGTCTTTCCAGGGCCCACACTTCAAGACATGGGTAGCAGCTCCGCAACAGTAGATAAATTCTTCGTGTAATGGGATTGCCTCCTCTGACGCTGACTTCATGTTTGCTGTTAGACACAATAAGATCCTGTTATAACAGATGAGCCCATATTTACATAGCTGGCTTCCCATAGAATAATTGGGAAAAAAAAAACAAACTCCCAAACCAGTTGTCATCTCCAGTAAACAGAGGCCCAATTCAGCATTTGATGTTTGAATACACCATAGAAGTCAATACATGTTATTACTACTATATGACAGAAAGTATCCATCAGTTTTTGTCACAGAAATACGATGGTGAATTGGAAAATCAGGTCTATTCTACCTTAAAGGCAAATAATTTTAAATTTCTTATTCACACTGTCCACTTAAAAGATTCAGCTGAAATCTATTTGAAGGCAAACAAAAGAAAATAATACCAAACAAACAGAACTACTGCATGAATGTTTTTGCAAGATCTGTGTGCTTCAACTATGGGAGCACAGCATCACTTAAAAACAACCAACCCAACCAGAATAAAACCCAAAAGAAAATATCAGACACCAAAAGGAACATGCTAAGTACTAGATTGCCTTCCAGCAGTAGATAGGCTCCTTATTTTAAGTGCAGCTTGACTTACTTCTCTAGAAATTTTCAAAGGATTAAAGGAGGAGTCTTTGCTTTTCTTAATCAGTTAGAGATAATTAAGATTTGATCAGTTCAGGCAAATATTTATGCTCACCTTTGTAACTTTCCTTATATTATTTCGCTATTTGAGTGCAGTAATGAGAAATAAAACAGTATGCTGCCAAACAAACATGGCATGTTCATCAGTTCATGTATTTATCAGGTATGAAATCATTACGTCCTAATAGACTATAATTTTGGAACTGCCTGATTGACCAAACTCCCATATCTTTCCTACAGTAAAAAAGCCACTTCATCAAGTGAATTAAAATGTCATCAAGGTGAACCAAGACATACACAAGCATCTGCCAAAATAACCATCTACCATCTGCAACTACAGGTACAAAACCTATCTATCAAATGCAGAGTAAGAAGCCTGCCCTTCTTGGAGCACCATCACACACGTGCATCACTCGGAAGAGGGACCGGTGCTTGGGAAGTCCACAAAGCTGTTTGTATCAACTTCAAGGGTATTTGAGCTCTACAAAATATTTCCAATCTTGTAAGAACCACATTTCAGGCTTCTGAAGCAAGAGATCTGGCTTAAAGAAGGTTGAGAAATTTGGTTAAATTATTACAGGAATGACTATGCATTCCTTATCCAATACATGACACTCTATAATGGCAAACAGTTAGGTTGGGCAGCCTTTTCCATTTAATTAAATTGTAATTCAAATCACACACAAGGGGAAAAAAAAAGATTAAGCCTAACGACTAATCTAAAAGATTAGTCTTTAGTGTCTTTACCTAGTACACCCTGTAAATTGACTGAAATATGTTATGCAAAGAAAAAAGCATAATGAGACAAGTGAGCAAAAAATCCTGATATTATAGGCCAGCAATTTGCAAAAGCAACTCTCAAGGACTTCACATGCAGCCACCACAGGAAAACATTTAAGGTAAACCTCAGCTTGAAATTAACAGACAAAAGGGGAACCACCTTCAATGTTATTTAAGAAGATGGTCTCCCCCAGGTTCAAAAGCCACTACTTTGTGTATAACTTATATAGCACCGATATATCAGCATGTGGAATTAGGATAAATATTTAGAATAAAATTAGAATATGATCACAAAAAAACCAACATTACAGTAAAACTGTGTATTGTTGCATACTACCTTGATTTTTAAAACATCAAAGGCATGTAGTTAAGGATAACTAATAAGGATAGACCTTTCAAATACTTTGCTTACTGAAAAAGGACCATTCACTTCTAAGTACAAAGATCCAAATTCTATTTCCTAATCAGTTTGTGAAGTTTTAAGCATGTAAACTAAGGCCTAAGATCTACAAAGTCTGCAGGACCATGAGGTGGGGGCACTACCTTCACAAATAGTCACTGGAAAATTCTCAGTGCTACACAACTTGAAAGGAACAGACCTGAATGAAGCTGTTGCATGAAGCTAAAACACCAGGCAATGCAGAAGGGACAGATAACACTTTATTTTGGACTAACAATAAACATCTTGAAAAAAATCTAGTACAAGGCAAACAGAAAATGCTTCTGGAGGGTAACCACTTTCAATTACAGCACAATTCTCTGGATGAAGCTGGGGTTTTTCCCCCCCCGCCCCCCAACCTCCCTACTTCACCCCCTGAAAAAGTTCATTTAATGGCAAAGGAGAGATATTTACTTCTTTATTAGCCATGTTATCATCTTTAACTTACAGTGAGTGGAACATAAATAATTGAAGTGAACACTGTCATAATATAATAAGGTATATTTTGCAATGCATTATTACTACTTTCATTTCTTCATTATTCCAAGCTGAACGAAATAAATCAAGAGCAGCTCTGACAGCGAGACCTAGTTACATCAACAATTAAGCTTGTCATCCCCTTTCTGAGGTGTTTGCAATCCAAAAAGCAAGAGTTGCAAGTCCTTACCCAGGAAAAGTATGTTTTGTACAACACTTCTGATCATGAACCAATAACATCAGTTGCAAAGTTTCATTTTGAATTGATTTCACTGAACAATTCCAAATGGAAATCCCATTGACAGCTCTCCATTCAAGCAGCACTTGAAACATAAGGTTATAAATTAAGCAATGAGAAAAGGAAACTCAGCAACACATTCTGAAGTAGTAGGCTTTTCAGGTTCACACAGATTCTTATAGTAATTTTTGTTCAGTTTTTAACTTATCTTAACTTCTAATTTCTAACATGCAGCGTTGCAGTACCCGAAAGCAAGACTGCATGCTAGAAAATAAAAGGTTTTCTGAAAGGTTTCCGCCCATCTGAGACAATCCTAAAAGGTTTCCTAGCACTAACACTACATAACAGCTGAGGGATTTTTATTTATTTATTGTGGGGTTTTTAATTTGTAACTTTATGGCATTTAATAATAGAAATGGGCTGAAGAGAAAAACAGAAAAGACCGTGGATATACTCCAAGGATACTACTCAGACCCATTTTAAAATTAAATCAGTAATACCCCAAAATACCTCTGGATCTCATTCCCTCTTCATAAATGAAGATTTGAAGAACAGTAATTTCATTATAGCATCTATCTTTGGCATGAATCGCCTGCGTTTCACCTAGAAATATCTTAAAATGACCTATCAATTTCCAAATACATTTAATGGGCAGAGGTCTCAAGAGAGGAGACTCCTACCAGCTGGCTCAGCTTGCAGAGAGGGCACAGTTTGCGCTGCAGCTCTGAGAGCGCTATGGAGAGGACAGAACCACAAACTTGACCAGTGGGAATTTCATATGAGTCATCACAGTAGAAAGTAATACTTGCATTTCTTTCTCTGGCTCTATGTAGGCAATCAGCCCTTATTACATCCAATGCAATATTTCCCTCCTCCTCTCCAACCTCTACCCCTTACCTCCACACATATGTCAAAAAACATTACAAGAAAGGCAGCTTCTGTCAACAGTACTTAATCTGGTAGCAAACCTTCTGCTAGAATGCATAAACATGGGCTTTGACTTGCAAGGTAGGGCTTTAGCACTACATTAACACACCCTTAAAGTACGTGTCTACTTGAATGCAAACTCCTATTACAGGACACAAAGATCTAGGTGACAGTAGATGGACTGAGTAGCAAATAACCATGGCACCAGCCACAAGGTTTCTACCTCAGGATGCGACAAATCATGCCCAAGCTAGCAAAGCCCATAATGAGCAGTCAGACATACACTTGCGCTTACAAATGAACACATATATCTTACTACTGATCTGGATTCCACCTACTGTCATTGCTTCAGAGAAGAATATTTGGAAACAGAGTTCCCCACAAGTAGCAGATTACTACTGCCCCATGGCTAAGTCTCTTCATATTCATCCTTGGTTCAACCGACTCCAAAGTAAAATGCTGCTAATAAAATCAAGTCTCCTTCGCACACATTGTCCTTAATTAATTATGCAACTGTCTTAATAGCATATCAACTCCTCCATCCTACACTATTACTTGGAGTCGGCATTTTATTTGAAAGATAACTTGGGAATAGAAAATTTTGAGATCTGCATCCAAAATAGTGTTTGATGAAAGAATTGTCACAAACTCAGCCTAGCACCGTGTAACATAACCAGAGTAAGTCGACTGAGATTTGGTCTACAAACTCCCCAACCACAAGACAGGACAAACAGGTTGGTGCACGGGATGTGAAGAACGATGCTGAAGCGAGAGATGCAATGGTAATCACAAGAGCAAAGGCAAGTTGCATAAAACAGTGGTGGAAACGTGAATGATGAGGCAAGGAATGCTAAATCATCTGGGATGGTAGTTACAGCCAGAGCAGAGCTTTACTTCAGAGAGTTGTTTCCTTGAGAAATCTAAGGACTGGGCCAACAAATCCCTTACGATGCTCAGCAGTGAAATGCACAAAGATCTGCGTCTGGAGTAGGACACTGTGCTTCAAAAGCAGCTCAGAAGTAACTGGCTGGACTAAATTATCTCCAGAGTTTTCTATAAATCAACAGTTTACAATTCCTAAGACCCTAAAACATCAGAAAAAAAAAAAAAAAAGGGTGAGGTGTAATAAGGGTCTCAGCCAATTTTTTTAGTACCTTAGCAAAGGCAGAAGGCTTCATGAATACAGTAGGTGACAATAAGTATATAGGTCAGAGAAAAGGAATCTAAACTAGATCAGCCTCTCAAAACCAGAAGAAATTGAAGTTCATGGATTATCTGTACCAGTCTAAATAAATAAAAGAAACACTGACCTAACTGGTGAGCTTATGTGATTGAATTCAGTATCACAGTGCAAAAGAATAACTGGAAAAATAGAAAGCAAGATTCCTTTAGCTGCCTGCTACGCTAAGGCTCTAACAATTTCTGCAACATTATCCTCAGAAGAGATTCATCCAGACCTGACGTAAGCTCCTTGATTTGCAGACTGGAACTAATATGCTCATAGCTAAAAACTAGAAGCAGAAGGGACAGACTGACCGACC